ATTTCCCCCTGTTGGTATAAATAGACCAATTTCAACCCACAACTCATCAAGCCAAAATCGGTTAACAGACTGTATTATATTATTAATTATTAATTGAAGAATGAACTCTTAATATCAAGTAAGTTCACATCTCAATCATTAATTATAAGAAGTGTTGTTTATATAGAAATAATGGTAATTTAATTTTTTATTTATAGAATTATATATTTTTTCTTTTTAATAGTAATAAAATGGTATAAAGACAACACATACCACAACTTTAAAATTGATTAGTTTTGGAATTGCGTGGAATTTCATATATAATATATATATTTTTCATTTTAAGAAAAAAAGAAATATATATATATATCTAAAGTTAAAAATATTGAAAATAATGGACAGTTTAAAACATATCCATTTGGTTGGTGATATATAAACAATCTTTTTATATTATCTTTTTATATAATTTTTATATGTCATTAAATGAGTAAATACATTCAATATCATGGGTTCTAAATGAATGAAAAAAATTAATTATTTAAATAACACACAAAATTATAAAAAAAATACTACAAAAAATTATTCCTAAGTCATTTGTCTATCTATTTTATGGGCATAATCGATAATTGCAAAATAAATAAATATAAGATTATATTTTTTTTTGAAGAATTAAATTAATTCCAATTATTTCTGCTCTGCATTCCTCTCCTCCCTTCCCCTTAAGAGGTTTGTTTAAATGCCAATATTCAGCTGGAAAATTGCAAAACAAAAACATTTGAGAAGGCTAAAATAAGAGGACTTATTTAATCTGGCTATAACAGTATAGGTTAAAAGACATTAAATATATTATTTTTTAATAAATTTTTATTAAAAAATAAAAATAAGATATTATTTTTAACATCAATATCACTTAAATGATTTTAATTTAGTAATTGATAAATTTAAAATTAATTTTTATTTTTTATATAAATTAATTACAAAAGAATGTAATTAATGTTTTCTTAAACTATACTTTTTAAAATATAGGTTAAACAAATCTAAAATAAAATGATGAATTAGTATGGTATAAATTTAGTCAAACTTCAAAGCAGCTGCAAGTGCAAGGAACTTATCTTGATTTCCTTAGTGTGCAAGGTAATCTCATTTCCCCCTGTTGGTATAAATAGACCAATTTCAACCCACAACCCATCAATCCAAAATCGGTTAACACTCACTAGCAATGGCTTTCCTTTCAACTGTATTCAGTCGGAAATGATTAATACACACTCGATTTAATATATTTTTTGATGTATTTTTGATTTAATTATTAAAAATATAATATAAATATAGTTAATTCAGTCAATTTTTACATTTTATGTATATGATTGTGTTTTTAAATTTATTTATTTTTAAATTTAAATAAAATAATAATAATTTCTATTAAAATTTAATTAGTTCCCTACTTCCCTGTTGGTTCCAATTCGTCACACTAGAGATGATTGGTGTAGGACCATGCATGAGTGAGATGGACAGCTCCTTAATAATTTATGCGACTTTCATTATCATATTCCTTTGGATAATAGTGACGTTTTTTTTTTATTAATTTATTTTGATGGTAATTTTGGTTCTTATCCACTCTGGATAAGTATTTCCAAGCTGGAATATAAATTTTTGTACCTTTTTATAAAGTCATCATCATTCTATGCACAATACTTCTTGTTAGTTTTAATTTAATTAGTTCATATATCGTTAAATGTTTTATAATTTAAATTATATAAAATTAATTATAAAATAAAAACAAACCTAATTAAACTTGTTTTTGTGTATATAAAAAAAACTTGTTTAACCTAATTAAACTTTTAGTAGAAATTATGTTTGAGTTAGTTTGACTTGAAAAAACTATTGTATTAATAAAAGGTAGTAACTTATATAAAATAAATAATTTTTTTTTCTTATTTTTCAAATTTTTTCTCACCCATTCAAAAGTTTGAGTATGAACTTACAACCTAAAATTCTTATAATTGAGGCATTCTTTGTAAGTGATATTGTTTTTTTTTTTAAATGGTTTATCACTTTGGGGTTGGGGTTCAAACCCCAATCTTAGGGTTGGAGATGCATTTCACTATAGGTATAGAGTTGTCATGCTACAAGAAATAAGTGCATAAGTGATATTGTTATTGCAAAAGAAATTGATTAATAACATTTATAAAAGATAATGTTACATAATCTACACTACGCTTTTAATTATTCATAAAAAGGTGAGCCCTCAATATTAAGAGAGTTTACATCTTTATCAATAATTATAAGAAATATAATTTGCACAAAACATGTTACAATTTAGTTTTCTATTTAAAGAATTATATATATATCATTTTAAGGAATATTTCATTTTATGGAGAAAAAGAAATATACATATCTAAAGTTAAAAATATTGAAAATAATGGGCAGCTTAATGTATATATATATCCACTTTGCGGGCATAATTGATAAGGAAAATGTGCATATGAGTTTAAATTTTTAAAAATTAGGTTAAATATTTTTTTTGGTCCCTCAACTATTGTACGGGCCCTTGATTAAGTCCCTCAACTCAAAAAATCCTTGACTTGGTCGTTACTGTTTACCATTTTTACCCTAATTTGATCCTTCCATTAAAAATCCCATTACTTATGCTGTTAATTCACTGTTATAGGATGACGTGGCAAATTATTATACACGTGGCAAAAAATAATAATAATATAAAAATAATAATTAATAATATGAAAAATAAAACTTTAAAAAACTCTTTTTTTTTTTCTTTTTTCTTCTCTTTCCCCTTCTCTTTCCCTTTCTCTTTACCCTTCTCCCCTTAGAAACCTAGCAGCTGCTGCTGGGTTCCTCGAAACCCAGGCCTGGGTTCATTTGAAGAAACTAGTAGATGGGTTCGAACGAACCCAGGCTTTGGGTTCCAAGGAACTTGGCGTTGGGTTCAACGAACCCAGGCTTTAGGTTCCAAGGAACCCAGCTGGGTTCGTCGCCTAGACTTGGGTTCGACGAACTTGGCATTAGGTTCGATGAACCTAGGCCCAGGCGACGAATCGAGGCGATCTGGGTCCGTCGAACCTAGGCGATCTGGGTTCGGCCTGGGTTCGACGGACCCAGATTGCCTCGGTTCGACAGACCCAGATCGCCTCAGTTTGACGAACCCATGCGTGAACCCAACTAGGTTTGAAGGAATCCATCGCCTGTGTTCGACGATCCCAAGCTTTGGGTTCCTTCAAACCCGGTGCTGGGTTCGATCGAACCTAGGCACTAGGTTCTTCAACAAAAAAATAAATAAATAATTTCTGTGTTTTTGTGGGTGTTGTTTGATGATGATGATGATGATGATGAATTGATTGATGAAGAAGGAAAGGAAGAGGAAGGAGAAAGGGAACGAGGAACGCCCAATTGGATTTGAAGGAACCCATGGCGATGGATTCGGCAATCCCATGCTCTGGGTTCAGGAAATGAAGAGGAAGGAGAAAGAATTTTTAAAATTTTTATTACCATATCACTAGCTTTTGCCATGTTGTCTTCCACGTGGATTAAAATTTTGACATGTCATCATCGTACTGTGAATTAACAGTACACGTGAAGAGATTTTTAATGGAAGGACCAAATTGGGGTAAAAATAGCAAATAGTAGGGACAAAGTCAGGGATTTTTTGAGTTGAGAGACTTAATCGGGAGTCCGTACAATAGTTGAGGGACCAAAAAAGAGATTTAACCTAAAAATTATTAAAAATTTAATTTTAAATTATGTCTTTTTATTTAATTAAAATTTAATTTAAAATTTAAAAATATATTTTATTAAATGTTAATATTTAAATTTAAATATATTTTTAAATTTAAATATTAACATTTAATAAAATAAAATTTTAGCATCTAAATATAAATTAAAATTTTAATTTATAAATATAAATTAAAATTTTAATTAGTTTTAAAAATTAAAAACCATATACACTAATCTAACCTGATAATTGCAAAATAAATAAATATAAGATCACATATTTTTTCCGAAGAATTAAATTAATTCCAATTATTTTTCTGCTCTGCAAATTCCTCTCCTCCCTGATTCCCTTCTCTTCCCCTTTGGTCTCTCTGTAGTTTCCTTCTGCAGAGAGGTCGGCGAGGATGGCGTGCCAGGGTGGAGGCAGAGGAACCTACTACTACAACTACAACTACAACTTCAACAGAGAGGCCTTCCCCGATCGAAGAACGCGAAAGTTGTTTCGAAACGTTTCGGCTTTTCGCTTCTTCAAACACGGTCTCTTCAGCGGTAAATGGCGATCCGCCGCCGCTACCCGCCGTCGCATTTTGAGGTCGCCGATTCTGGTTTTCCATCTATGCCGGCTCCATTTCTTGGATTTATTTTGTGCAATATTATTATCATTGTTTCGTTATTGAATTGGATGTACCTTTTTGTTTAAGCTGATTATGGATTGATATTGAGTGTATGTATGGTATTGAATAAGTAGTTTTGAAACCCAGATGAGAAAAAACAAAAAAGACAATATTTTGATTTTCTTATTTTAATTTTTGTTTTTGTTTTAAATGATTGAAATTTAGAAGCTGCATTTTAGCTAGTCCAAATTTAGTTATGATTTTTCATTTTCAAGAAATTGCAATTAAGATGATAAAACTTCATTTATATTGATTCTATTAGTGCACCTTATCAAGTCTGAGAAAAGATAGAAGATGGAATTATAACCATTAAGCTTGTTTTGTGAAGTCTTTTAAAAACTTGGAAGTGAAAAAATAATGACCATGTATATTATGAAATTTTGATGGAAGAATTCATGTAGCATTTGTGCTGCTATGGTAATATATATTGGTAGAGTCTTTTTGATTGGTTGATCTTATAGGTGCATGACCTGCTAGAGTTCCTTAGCCCCATTGTGGAGGGTAATATTCTTCGATGCATGTACTGAATCAAAATGTTTTCATGACTTCATGGCTGTCACTAAATAGAAGTTTCTTAGTCCTCTATTACCTATTGCCTTTTATACGGATAAATTTTGCTGCATAAGACATTTTCCATGATTATAAAATGCTTGTCATATGGTATTTCCTTGTTTTTTTTATTCTCTCTCTGTTTTTCCAATTAATATACATCTGAAGCTGGCTGTTTATGATCTATGTGTTGCAGCATGGATGCTCGAGAGAAATCAAGATCAACGATATTGGAATCAGCAAAACAGAAGAGAGTGCCCATATTTGTAATGTTGCCTGTTGATGCATTTGCCATTGATGCCACTGGAAGTCCAAGGATTAGAAAGTAAGGTTCAGGCCTTATTTTTGCTTGATTATTTATATATTATGACCTGTTACTGCCCATCATAAGAAGTGACCTCCATGCCTTGCATATTCTTAAAAGGAGGTAATAGTTCTAGCTAGATGTTTTCACCTCTTCTATTTCAAATGACCACCTTATAGGATTCAATTTTTCTTTTCAAAAACTCAATCTTTAGATGTTTTTCACTCTTTTAGTAAAATGAAATACTTTATATGTTTCTCTTTGTTGTTTCAGAATCAAGGCCTTAACTGTGTCTTTAAAAGCACTCAAGTTGGCAGGTGTTCATGGAATTGGAGTTGAGGTCTGGTGGGGAATTGTGGAACGCCTTTCTCCTCTTGAATACGATTGGTCTCTATACGAGGAGCTCTTTAAACTGATATCTGATTCAGGGCTGAAGATGCATGTTGCTTTGTCCTTCCACTCAAATGTTAACTCTTCTAGTGGAAAAGGGGGCATAAGTCTTCCACTGTGGATTTTAGAGGTTAGTTCTCTTACTCTGCTAAACAAGAATTTGATGGATGGTTGCAACCTAAGTTACCACAAAGTTGGTTTATTGTCCAGTTCAATTCTTCAAGATAAAAGGTTTTACTTTGGTGAAAGTGATTAGATTGGCAGAAAGCTCTATCTAATGTGCCAACAAAAATATTCAAGATTGTTCAACTGAAAATATGAATATGCTAGTGATGTCTGCAAGTAACCTTGGTTCTGTCTTTGGTGTACATGAAACTGTACCAGTGACTAGGTTGCTCACTAAGAAAATTTATAGTTCATGATTGGATTCTGATTATTAGTATAGCCAGAAGGTGAGGTGACTGATGACATTTTTTTATTATTTTCATTTTTCAGATTGGCAACTTGAATAAGGATATATATTATCAAGATCGGCATGGGTTCTCCAACTATGATTATCTTACTCTAGGGGTGGACCAACTTCCTGTGCTCTCTGGACGGTCAGCCATCCAATGTTATGAAGACTTCATGCGTGGTTTTGTTAACAAATTTGAACCATTTATTGGAACTGTTATTGAAGAAATAAACATTGGTCTTGGGCCTTCTGGAGAGCTTAGGTACCATCTAGTTTTTGCATTCTTCTTATGTCTTGTTTCCTCTCTTTTTTGCCCAAACTATAAAGTTATTGCTGAACCACAATTATCTTTATAATACAGGTATCCTGCTCATCCTTTCAATGATGGTAGATGGAACTTCCCTGGCATTGGTGAATTCCAATGTTATGATAAATACATGTAGGTAAAACCTTTAATCTTGTGTTATTAGTGTTGTTGTTTGATGTTTACAAGATTGTTTAATCTCAGGATGGAGGACTTGAAGATGGCTGCATGTCAAGAAGGAAAGCCTCAGTGGGGGAACAGAGGACCAGAGAATGCTGGCTGTTACAATAGTCTTCCATCAGGGGTGCCATTTTTTGAAGAGGGAGAGGAAAGCTTTGTATCTGATTATGGCCGTTTCTTTCTGGTGATCTCTCCACATCCACAACATAGTGAGGTGAGAGGAAGTGGTACCACGTGTATACGGCAACTTCTAAGGTGGGCCTAGGGGTTATGGGCCCAAAGCAAACCTCAGTCCATATCTTTTCTAGTTTATGGGCCCATTAGAATCTGGATTAGATACCTTGGTCCATCACGTGCACATTTTACTCCCAAATTCCAATTGGTCATCAGGCAAAGAAAGGTTAAACGTTTAAACCATTTTATTCCTTAAATTAGATTTTGTACTTTTTACGTCCCCTTAACTATAAAAAAAATAGGTTAAAACTTTAATTTGGTCCCTAAACTATTGCATAGACCTTCGATTTGATCCCTACTATTTACTAATTTAACATCAAGTTGATCATTCCATATAAAAAACAATTGACGTGTTTGTTACTTAACAATAAAAAACAGTAACTTAACGGTCACGTGTCACATTACTAACAAGACACATTAGTTGTTTTTTGTGCAAAAGGATCAACTTGAAGTAAATTAGTAAACAGTAAGAACCAAAACGAAAATTCATACAATAGTTCAGGAATCAAATTGAAAATTTAACCTAAAAAATATATATTTTTTACTTATTTTGGTAGTTTAGTTTGTTGAGTTTGTCTAATCAATATCTTTTAAATTCCTTTTAATGACTTAAATACGCATGTAATAAAAGTTTAGAAATTAAAATTGTGTAATAAATATTAGTTTAAGAATCAAAATGTGTATAAAATAAAAGTTTAAGAGTAAAAAATACCAGCTT